TGAAATTCGGGAATGGCGACTCGCCCCAAGATCGACGCCTCAGGCGTTGGTGCTCGTGGCTTGTCTCGTGAGCTGATTCCATCGCAGCAGAGTCCGTCGATTACACACACAGTGGCCTTGTATACCGATCGGATCGGCATGTGATTTCGCTGGTTCACCGCATGTCGTGCATCGGAGGGGCTCGTGATGGAAGTCCCTCCCCTGTGCCGACGCGTCGACCATGTCGACGGGATGGAATGCCAACGGATACACTACTTGACGATGGAGACATGGCGGCGAGGTCGGCATCGCCGCCAACGTGAGGCCATCGCTGTAATGGTGTGGGCCATGCGATACCCACACAACCTGATCAAATAAATCCATCGTTACGCCCACTTGGATGGAGAAGGGCAGCCAGCGCCGTCGGCAAGTGAGCAGTTCATCGCACGACACTGCTGCTACGAACGAACCTTCTTGAATGCGAATGCTTGGTGGCTCAGGTCCGTTGGGGACAGAGAGGTGGCGACTAATTCATTCTTGGATGTGCGTCCCGGCATGGTCGACTGGAAGGATCCGTGTGGTGGCCCCTGCATGCGTCATTTGCCTTCAGGCAGGAGACACCGGTGCTGATGAAGTCCACTACAACAGCCGCTGGCTTTGATGGCCGGCCAAGTGGCACATGCTTGAACCTGGTGCTTCCCGCTTGACCGACCGGCGGTTGTATGGACCAGCGATGGATGCGCACCCACCGCAGCAAGCGAATGGGAAAGCTTGCCGACGCGTTGTCGCGAATGCCACGCTGCAGCTGCCACCGACCAGGATCTCCCTCGCTTCAACTCGAATGATGGATTTGCTGCCTCCACGATGCCAAAGGTGATCTTCCCTGCTGTGTTGTGCTTTTGGTGTGCGCCAGGGGACAGTCGCCATCGCGGCGGCTGGCAAGGCATGTCACCACGGAGGCACTCGACATTTGAAAGGGACCAATGTATCCGAGAGGGATCCGTGCGCACGCGACCACACACCCAGACAATTACCCATGTATGTGTATCAGTTCGGTGTCCTGGCCCGATTTCAATCCATTGACGTCTGTTACAGAGTCAAGGATGAGCCGGGCTCGTCTGCGGCGTCGATCTTGGGGCGAGTCGCCATTCCCGAATTTCACCCACGATGGTCCGAGTCGTCGTGTCCGTCAGCGCCGTAGCTGCGATGGTCGCCGGTGGGTCGATCACGGACCTCCCCGAGTCCGTGACCAAGCTCATGGACTTGACCGCGAACCCGTGCGAAGACTTTTACCAGTACGCGTGCGGCGCGTGGTACAAGGACGCCGTGATTCCGCCGGACCGAACCAACATCGACACGTCGTTCACCAAGATCTCGATGCGGAACGAAGCCATCTTGACCAAGATCTTGACCGACAACAAGCCCAAGCTCGCCGAGTTTTACAACTCGTGCTTGGACACAGCGACGTTGTCGTCGCTGGGGCTGACGCCGCTCGCGGACGCGTTCAAGGCCATCCGCGCCGCCAACTCGACGCTGGACCTGCTCGTCGTCGCGGGCCAGTTGGTCAAGAACGGGATCCCGGCCTTCGTCGACATCAACGCGAGCGGCGACGACAACGACTCGACCAAGAACGCGCTGTTTGGGTTCCAGACCCCGCTGACCCTGTCCCGGTCGTACTACACGAACCCGACCAAGTGGGCGACGGTCGAAGCCGACTACAAGGTGTACATTGCGTCCATCTTGCAGCTCGCGGGGTACATGGCGGAGCAGGCCGCGGCGGCCGTCCCCGTGATCGTCCGGTTCGAGCAGTCGCTGGCGGGGGTCGCTCTGACCACGCTCCAAGAAATGGAGGCCGCGGTGTCGCCGTACACGGCGTTCTCGTTCTTCGACCTCGACCAAAAGTACCCGCTGGTGGTCGGGTCGTGGCTCAAGGGCAACGGGTTTAACGTGCGCGACCAGTGCGGCGGCGCGAACGACTGGGTCGGTTTCTACGACCTGTCGTACATTGACAAGACGGAAGCGCTGCTCAAGGCCACGTCGGTGGACACCCTCCGCACGATGATCGAGTACAAGGTGCTGCACGCGTCGGCGACGCACCTGACGCCCGAGTTCCGCACGGCCAACTGGAAGTTGTTTGGGAAAAAGCTCGCGGGCCAGACGGTCGAGCCAACGCGTGAAAAGTTTTGCGCCGCCCAGATCGACGCGTCGGTGGGCGAGCTCCTCGGCAAGTACTACATGGACGTGGTGTGGTCGGCCGACACGGCCAAGACCGCAGACAACCTCGTCAAAGCATTGGAGGCGTCGTTTTCGACGGGCATCGCGACCGCCGACTGGCTCGACGACTCGACTCGCACGAACGCGCAGACCAAGTTGTCCAAGTTTGTGCACTTGTTGGGTGGTCCAGAGAAGCCGCAGTTGTTTCCGAACGTGACGTTCGACGCCAAGTCGTTTTTGGCGAACCGGTGGAAGGCGAGCCAGGTCACGATCGAGACCAACTTGAACCTGAACGGCCAGCCCGTCGACAAGCGCCAGTTTGGCATGACTCCGCAGACCGTGAATGCGTACTACAGCCCGACCGTCAACCAGATCGTGTTCCCGGCCGGCATTCTGCAGAGCCCGTTCTTTGACGGGTCGTTCGACGCGGCGCAAAACTTTGGCGCGATCGGGATGGTCATCGGCCACGAAATCACGCACGGGTTTGACAACAGCGGCCGCAACTTTGACGGCGACGGCAACTTGAGCCCGTGGTGGTCCAACGCGACGAGCGCCGCGTTCAACAAGAAGGCGCAGTGCATCGTGGACCAGTACTCCAAGTTTGTCGTCAAGAGCGAGGTCACGGGGGCCGTCTTGGGCAACGTGAATGGGAAGCTCACGCTGGGCGAGACGATTGCCGACAACGGCGGGCTCAAGACGAGCTTCCGTGCGTACCACGAGTACTTGAAGTCGTTTCCGTCGCAGTACACGACCGAGACAGGGGACAAGCTCTTCTTTTTGTCGTTTGCCCAAGGCTGGTGCTCCAAAAACTCGGACGCGCGCCTGACGGCGGTGCTCGCGGACCCCCATCCCCCCGGCCGCTTCCGCGTCGCGGGCGCACTCCAGAACAATGCCGACTTTGCCCGCGTGTTTCAGTGCCCGACCGAGTCGTACTACAACCCGTCCGCCAAGTGTCTGTTGTGGGAGTAGACTCTAGGTCCCGTCGTTTGAGTGTGAACGATCCTTTTGTCCCGTTGCGATGCCGTGTTGGCGGCGGCGGCGGGGGCGCTGTTGTGCTGTCTGTGGCGTTGGAGTGGACGCGCGCCCCCTTCTCTCGCGTGTGACGCACGGCGAAAACACTCCATGAGCATCCAAGAAAATGTCTAGTTATCGAGTCACGAGGTCGTGTCGAGTGACGCAATGCGTGGCCAGATAACGTCGTCGGACATGCCCATGCTTCGAGTCGAATCCATTGCGGGCAATGTGCAAAAGAAGGACGTGGCCCACCTCTCTTGGCGGAGAACTTAGGTGACGACGCTGCCAGCCACACACGGGGTGTATGACAGGACACGGGGGAAGCACCCGCCGCCATGACGAGCCCTTGTCGTGGAGAGGAAGGGCCATCATGCATGTCAGATCGCGGCTCTGGCCGAGTTGTCACAGGAGATATGGCGATCCCGACGAGGGCAGCCGATTTTTCCTGCCAAGACGCCAAAGGTGTAACACCTTGACTGGGTCGCG